TCCTAGCTGACTAATTTAAATAAACTGCCAGGGTTTAAATGAATTATTGATCATGGTGCAGGCTTTTAGAGGAAGACTAAGGTCCTATTAATCGTGTTGTGCATTGGATTACAGTTATCTTTTAATTAGTCAACGAAAAGGCTGGACTGAATCCTTACTGCACAGCATCCTGCCATAGCTAATTTAGTGAAATGCAAAGTAAACTGAAAATTAAATGAATGTGTTCTTGAACGGGTTTGTACGTTTGCAAGACACAGTGTGTCAAAAATAAATAAGCCAAGCTTTTCTTTGGGCTACTATTTAATAGTGTTTTTCACATGATAACGATGAACTCACACCTTCGTCTGAATAAGACCTCGGATGGACATGTTTATTTTACAGTCTGAACTATAAGAAGAAAAATAATTATGGAAAAAAAAGACAATTACAACATTATGCTCTTTCATATTCTCCCTGCGTAAATTCCTGGCGTACAAAATGCTTCCGTTGTCAAATACGGCATCGTGTTCATGCGTTTGATCTTCCTCTTACTGGATGTCCTGGTTTGTTTCAGGACATAATGAATATGGCAGCCTTAGCGTCTTCACTACAGATAGCACACAGAGCGTTTTAGGCTTCAGAGGATTTCAGGATCACTGCCTAATAAAGATCTTTTACATTTTAATCTACACAGGTTTTCCAATTTTCCAAAAGGATGTTCAGTCACACGGTTCAGTTTCCTTAATTTATTCAATGACAACAGATTAATTTCCCTTTGCCATTGATTTTTAGCTCTTGCAGTATATGGACTCTATTGATCCACACCTCTATGTCCTTTCTTCATCTTCCTCCTTATCTGATGCAAACCTCCTCATGATGGCAGAAGTGGTCATATAAACGAGGACAGACCAAGAACAGGAAGAGGTATGCATGGCAGAACAAGAACACGGATGTGCAAAGAAAAACAAAAAATCCAAGACTATCATGTCATTTTGTTTTTACAGCTAAAGAAATACTAAATAAAGTCATTTTTATTTAACCCTCTGGTGGCCGTAGCACGACGGACAGAAGGAGCGTCAGAATGTCATGGTGGGACAGCGGGGAAGCTGCAGGGTTGTCCCGTTAGACCGTCAGTTTCTGAAACCAAAAAAAAAACAAAAACGCACACAGAAAAATTAAAAAGTCAGCAAAAAACCTGTTGGGTCTAAATCCTCGAGGGTTAAAGAAGAATTAGGTCACATTGCGAACATGTAGAAAAGTGAATAAATCCACAGAGCAGTGGCAGCTACTCACGTCAACTAGTTTAAGATAATTTTTCACAACTACACTCATATTTATTACAAAAATTAAAAACACACAGTCATCCGCAAAACTATGAGCTTCACTGTGGGTCAAAGCAAAAGCAGAAAAAACACACCTGCATATCTACCAAACACCAACATGAAAGATGTTTGGGAAATGCAACACTTATACTTAAACGTGTCAGGAGTGGATGTTACACAGACATATAGATATTTTTAATGGGGTTCAAATAACAGCAGAAAATCCTGTCAGACATAAACCACTATGTTTGTGATCCACATTTTCATTTTTTTTTTCCACAACTGTTGCAGGTACTTTGATAAATTTCCATTTGGTAGTTTCCTACAGCTCCATTTTCAGACTGCATTGAAAGTGAAGTTCTAGTTTGAACTAAAATAAGACACAGATGCCTCTGTTTATTACGACAGAAGCTACAAAAGAGAAATGTATTCAACCGGGTAACATTCTCATCAAGCCAGCCATACTTTAGCTGATACTGAGATTAGTTTCTGTGCATGTAGGCGGCATGTGTGTGTGCGCGTGTGTGTGTGTGCGTGTGTGTGAGACAGACTCAGACCCCATACAGTCAAGTGGAGGCTCTCACCTAATGGGAAATTTATCTCTCTTCAACACACGCCGACGTAACTGACCTTCACCACCTGCTAATTGGCATAGGCAGGTTTTAGCTTTTACAAGACTGCTGTCAAGTGCGTGCATGCCCAAATGCGCATGTGTGTCTTAGGTTTCAAGAGGAGAAGTTGAGGAAATGTCTGCCCTTGCCTCCTTTTCCAATTACCTCATTTAACCCTTTTGGGACCTTTTTCCCCCGCCTCCTCCGCCCAGGAGCACCACTTACTGTGAAGTATCATATTCCTCTTGTTAGCCTGTCACTCCTAAAGGTTATAAAACCTCCAATTTCCTGTCTGTTTTCATTCTTTCAACTGTTTTCTTGTGCGTTTTGAGGGCACTTGTATGACAGAGTTGGGTTTAAGCTGTGAGAAGGAATCAATGTCGAAATAGAAAGTAAAAGGATCGTCACACAAGTACGGCAACATATTCCAATCAGTTGAGATCCTGTGGTTTTTTTTTTTTGTTTTTTTTTGGTTTGTTTTTTTGGAAATTGTCTCCAAATCTCTAAAACTTTTTCAGGATTCCTACACATTTAGTTCAGTACAGTAGTCTACTGTGAATCTACCACAGCTTTTCCAAGAGGGATGAGACTTTAGATATGGAATGGACAGAGTAATCACCGCATAGAAAGAGTTGGGTGAATGATGGATGGACGGACGGTAGATGAATCAGCAATTAGATTAATGGTTATGTTTTTAGAAATGAGCGCGGAGAATAAATCTGTAAATTTAAACACATTTTCATACTTTTTCAAACCTGGAAAAATCCTTAATGAAATTCCAAACTTTACCGAAAAGTGTACGAATCCTTTGGAAAGTCGCCAGTATCAAAGCTCCTTTCTAAGAGCAACAGCAAATGTTGATATCTGCTGCTGTTATAGAATAAAGGGTGAGTGAAGTAAACACCCTCTTCTTCCCTGTGGCTTGAGGAACAAGCTTTAAAAATCAGTTTTTACTCAACTTCCTTCATAAAGATTACCAAAATAAAAAATAAAAAAAAAGATCTCCCAACCTTCAGGATGTTGTCTTTGCATCGTTGCGTATTAAAGCAAGCTGTCAGTAAAATCCTTGAATAGCCTAATTTATCTCATGCCACTAATATCTGTCAAGTGCGGTTCTTTGCATTAGAATAAACCCGTCACATTTAACATTTCCAGCGGTGAGAACATTAATCATTGTGGCGGAATGGCCTCAGATCCGATTGCTTTCACTGCTTCCCCTTCAGAAAGAAAAGAAGCAACGATCAAAGTTGGCGCAACCAAGCTTGCCACATCGCGTCTCCCCGTAATAGGAGAAAGACAACATTACACATCGCTCCCTTCATTCTCTGAATTATTCAGTCGCACCTCAGGCTATTGTCTATCGATGCTTCTGGATTTATCCAATCTACGACTGACAATCCTGACACCGGCTGCGTCTAACACACCCGCCCATACCAGCACTCCTAATCATCACTATTTTATCGTGTGGATGTGTCGGTTTTAATATTCATAGTGAGGAAAGCGCTACAAAGTTGGCCGTGCGGTGATTTCATTTGATATTCTTCCCCAGATGTTGTAAAACACCACTGAGCGATTAGCATACTCCGGTCGGAAGTAATGCAATAATAATTTCATGAGGCCACACCCGCTAATGCAGGAGCATTTTGGGTATTATGGGGCATTAGGCGAAATACTGTGGCTACTGGCTAAATATATGTTCCATTTACATTTGGAAAACAGCAGCTGATTGAAAGTCTTAAAGCTTTAGTTATTTAAATTATACACACAATTCTGATTAAGTCCCCCCCCCAAAAAACTCCACTTCTCCGGCTTTAGGCGCTATTTTATCTTCAGTGCAACACTTAATGGCATGAAAGTAGTTTGACTAAGTCGTTAATCGTGTTTCCAGACCACTTGGTTTCCAACCTCAAATTTGTTGCTTAATGTTCACCAAAAGCCCAATGCTTGCTATTTAGTACAAACAGAATAGTAGTTTAATTTTTGTCCTCGCCAACAGCTTACTGAACTCAGCCCCCTGAGCCGCTCGCACACTGGAAAAGGACAGTGAGACTGAACCTAAACATTTAAACGTGGGAGCTCGTCCTTCTGCCGTCATGTTTTCTACCTAGCTGGACTTTGCTTCAGCGAGTAAGAGCAGCTGTCTCTCAGCAGGTGCGAAGCCCACACACACACACACACACACTATGGACAGGAAATAACAGCTTCACCTGGGCCAGCACTCACCTGTGCTGCATCCTGACTCTGTGTCCGCTTCCCTGTGGGAGGGAGAAAGTCGCCAAACCTCAAACCACACGACCTTTTTCTTTTTTTCCTGCCTCCTCTCCCTGATGTTTTGCTCTTTGCCTTAGTTTTTGAGTAACTAAATATTTTGATTTATTTTCTGCAGGGTCAGCAGACGGTGTGAAACGCAGCACAGTGGTTTAGGCTCACATCGATGCAGCTCTGAGTCTGTGCCTCTCTGTTTGAGCTCAAGGAAGTGCCAGCTGGATGCTGCCTGGCTTTTGAATAAACAATCGGTCGCTTGTCCTGTTGACCTCACGTTCTGAAGCACAGACAGAAAACAACGCTGGCAAGAAGAAGTATTGTATTGTTGCAGAGAAACTAAATGTAGATGCGTCTTGTTCAGAGTTTTATGAATAAGTGTTACTGAATTTGTTTCCCACATCTAGAGGTCTCGATGCATCAAGTTCCTGAGTTTCTTTCTTTTTTTTTGTGAACAAGCACATAAACAGTTGTCTCTAATAAAGTGGCCACTGAGTATATATCTTATGCTTTCAAAACCAGGACAGAGGCTTTCAGTCTAAAAACCGATTTTAACAAATCCCCCAATGTTCCAGATGAATGTGAATGAACTAAATGTCCAGCTGACATTGTCTTAGCCAGGCTTCATTAACTATCTAATGTAATTCTGTTCTCAAATTGAATTACATACAGTTGATGGCTATTTTAAGCATGTGGGGGAAAAAAGCATGTAAAATCAAAACATACCAAAACTGCAATGATTCCAAAGCTTGTCTAGTTCATGTCACTCACTTGCTGTCGTTGAATATTTTGGTGCACAATTCTGATGCACCTACATCTCTACAACTGCAAAAGGTTTATTTGCATACTCGCCGAGGAATTGGAAAGCTGTCACGTCTATTTGTGCTGGTAATTAGTGGCACCTAAAGCAACAATGGCCTAGGTCTGCAGGATGTCGACAAAGAGGAGAGTGTAAACATTAAAAACAGACATTTGTCTTCCTTAAATGATAAAAAAATTGTAATTTCTTTTCTAGGTGCAACCAATAATCTTACTGTCACCTAAGGAGATACAAGATGTATATATTTATAGAGATTAAACTACAGTGGTGCAGCCAATAAAAAAAAATGTTTTATTTATAATGTACAATCTCCACTGTTTGTTTAACAGACTGAGCTACAGTCCGACCCTTAAGGCTGCAGAAGATGAGCTCTAACAGTCTGTCAGCGACCTTTCTTAGCTTTCTTCCTGATCAAAGTCTTCACTCAGCATCACCCGCAGGTCCCAACCCTCAGTCCTTTACACTCGATGCGCTGGAGAACAAAGGCTGGAGAAGGACGTGCAGAGGAGACGGGAGAAAGTGAGACCGAAAAAAAAAGAAGAGAACAGGGATAGATGGGCCTGGGAGGTCATGTTTGATGAGAACTCTGGATCTCCTGCAGATACACAATGAGAAAAGGTCAGCTCAGCTCATCCGATACAGAAACGTGAAGGAGGCGAGTAGAGGACAAAAGACCGGGTGGAAGCGATCTGAAGACTCGTGAAGAGAAGGAGGAGGAGGAGGAAGAAGCGGAGGAGGAGGAGGGAGGTTGAGACTGAAGGGGAACCTCATCGGACAGGCGAAGCAGCTTCAATTAAGATTGGTCAACAGATAAAACGCCTCACGTGTTTGTGTGGGACAGTGTGACGACCTCAATCATTGTGATGTTTGAAGTGAGCAGTGAAAGTGTCCTCTGTGTTATTGTGAGTCCATACATATGCATCCGCTTTTGTGTATCCATGCAGCTGTTTTTGTGTCTGTATTTTAGAGGCCAGAGGAATGTCAGCATGCAGTTAATGTGCATAACCTGAGAGCATCCGTACCGAAGTGCATGAAGAGTTTGAGCTTTTTAACATGTTAGCCATTTTTTGCTTCCATTCACTGTTTAGGTGAGTTAATACCAAAGAATAAATAAATAAATAAAAGAGTGTCAATATGTTGCAGCAAAGAAATACAATTTTTTCATCCTCCTGGAAGGTTTAGATTTTTGTCATAAGAAATATCGTATCAGCCAAAATAAAAGACCATTTACAAGCAGCAGCTTATTTGAAAACACAAATCAAATTTCCCGTGTTTGTTGATGCTTTAACACAAAATTGTTTGTTAAAATTACTTATGCCCTTCTTAAGAATAAATGGAAAAGGTTTGGAGTTGCAGCAATCAAACGCTTCATACCGTGACTTGTACTCGTTCACACAATCTCCACAACTTCGGGTACAACCACAGGCTTGAAGCTCAAAACTATTCTGTACTGGCAAAGTGTCACTGGCAGAAAATGCAAGTGACTATATTAAAGAAGATGGACAGAAATTATACATTAGATTTTTTTATTTTATTATTTGAGCATACATGTGCTGCAAATGAATTTTGACTTTTACCTGCATTCAGATCAGCTTGGGCCCAAAATTATTCACATGTCCAGCAGATGTACATTTAAAGTAATATTATTTTGGTCATTAGAAAAACCTTGAATCTTAGCCAAGGACAGGGTAGTAGAACATCATCACCCTCACTGAGGCTCGGCTTTTGTGACTCTCCGATGTCCGTCTATTGTTGTCTCTGTCCTTGTCTGTCTTTGTCTGATGTTCTTTTGTCTTGTACGGTGCTAAGTATAACCACAGTTTCTAGATCAGAAAGGTAAACAATCAGAGTCGGGTACATTATGAAAACAGCCAACACACGAAGGCGGGGCTTTGTGTGTTTCTGATATTACTGTAAAAACAATCGGGATGAAATGATTTTGCCTCTCTTATAATCCCAGTGAGAAGACTTACATTTGTAATATGTGAATGCTGATTTCCAAATGGTGATTTAGGGCTTTACCTAATCTATTTATATAAGCCTTAATAATAGTTAGCATTTTACATAATTAAAGGAGAATCTTTAAGCGGTTTGTGTCCATCTGTTGGGATGTAATTTCAAACTACACGTCCTCCGGTACCTATTGTGCCTGAAATATGCCGAGCACGACATGCCCTACAGCGAATTCTCGAGATCAGCCAGCTTGGAAAGTTGGCAGGAGTATCAGGCAATGAACAAAATCCTCCCTGTGACATCCACCTGCTAAGCTATTCTGTTCGATTTTGACCCCGCAGTTTCTGAGCTACTCTTTAATTGAAGGTACTCTGTGTTGATCTTTCTTTGTCTTGACAGTTCCAGATGTTGCTTCACCATCTAAGAAGACTCCAGGGAGCAGTTTGGAGTCCCAGACAGACAGGTATGTGATGACCTTAAGCCTCATGAAGAGGAAAGTATGTGAGAGCCAATAAAACTAAGGCTGCTGTCAAAGCATGTAGCGTAAGCATGACAGGACTGGGATTCATTTACGAGAAAGAGTGACAACTTTTCTATTTATTTTATCGGATGCATCTCTATGAAATGAAAAACACAACAAAACCAAAATAATTCACTTATTGGCCTTCAAACACATGAATTTGAGTGACATTTCATCCTTTTTTCATAGAGTCTAAAATGATGTTGGCCTATCATTTCAAGCTGCAGCACCATCTCTGTTAGGGTTTTTTCCACAAGGTTTATAAGTACGTTTATGGAAAGCACAGACAATTCTTCCAAATAAGCACTTGTGAGGTCAGACACTGATGTTGGACGAAAAACCTGCCTCCTCTTTGATTCATCTGAAAAGTGCACCATCATTTTGAGTTTGGGTGTCTCTACAGGCCAGATAAATACTTCCACACAAAACACTCTTATACATACACATTTTACATTATGGACCTTGCTTTATGTTCTGGTTCACTGTCATTTATGGAAAGAAACGGGGATTCAGGAATCGAGGGATTTAGGAAGATAGATTTTTATACATAAAAATTAGAACAATGAATTGATCTTTGCCCTGGCAAAGCAGAATTGAATTTTAAGGTTTGTAATATTTTTTAAGACTCTATGGTGGAGTGTATTAACAGCATTTTGGCACTGGGATGGAGGTATTCATACACTGTAAATTAACTCCATAATCTAGTAATTACAAAAGTAGTTTCTCAGCTGACTTTGCATTAAATTAAAATCCTTTTTATTAAGGAGCTAAGGCACCATGCCCAACACCTGACAGCCCCACTCCATTAGAGCTGACATAATGCACTCAGGTAAGAACCGTTCTCCTGATACCTGCCAAACTCAGACGCCTCCATTGCACTGCTAAACAGGGTGGGACGATTTGAAACTCTAGAGAACATGTGTCCACTCTTCTAGAGTCCAGTGGTGATGTGTTTTGCACTACAACCCTTTGCATTGAGGCTTGGATGAAGCTGCTCAGCATTGGAAACCCATTTGATAAAGCTGTCTGCACTATTGACGAGCTAATCTGAATTCTTGAACACATGAATGCTTGAAGGTCTGAAATTAGACTCTCTGGAAAGTTAGTGACCTCTGTGCACCTCAGCACCCTTTGACTTCGCTAACGAGGAAATTTCCAACTGGACGCCATGCACAGGTGGCGTCCTGTCACGGTACGCGCTGGAACTGCCGAAGCCCCTGAGAGCGACCCTTTCTTCCACAACTGTTCGTGGAAGCGGTCTGCATATCGGTGCTGGATTTTGTAAACCTGTAGCCGTGAAAGTGAATTAAATGATTTGGATGGGTAAGCAAATATCTTCGGTATTATCCTTCCTTCTTTTACTGCTGTCATCTCGGAACAAGTCGTATTAAGTTAATAATTGAGTGTTGCGTCTCCCCTCTTTGCGACAGCTCTTAGATCATTTCAAGTTTCTCCCTCTATAACTTTAATTTCTCCTTTCTTCTGCTTCATTCCACACTATCCTCTGTCCTCTATGTCTCAGCAGCTCTCAGAGGTTATATTCTCCATTCTTCAAGGCTCACTGCTCACAGCGAGGGATCTGTTCTCACCGCCCACCAGTCTGGGACCTTAAAGACCTGTAACGATGGACTGCTAGCATGGCTTTATCCTCTTAGACCGAGTGAAAGCGGATAGAATACGAGACACAAATCTGCCTTAAGAATTTCATTGGAGATTTTCTGTGTTTTTACTTGTGTGGATAAATAAAAGACATAATTCCTTTCTGACCTGTGGTGGGCCACAACTAAACAGCTTGTGTGTTTTAATGTTTCCATTAAAGCCTCTGCTGTGTGGTTTTTACTATGAAATAATTATCAGTGTTAAATATAAATAAATTAGATTTAAAACAAGCTAAACATTCTGTGGTGGAAACAGCACGGCAAGCAAATACAACACTTTTAGCTGCTTTAAATTCAGACGATGGGCGAAAAAGCCGCAGAGAAGGTACAGAGTCCGGGTTGACAGAATTAGCGTTGCGTCCTTAACGGAGTGGTGGTGCGCCAGCAGCCAGGCGCAACTGTTGCAGAGCAGAGCAGAGCAGCAGTAAATGTAAATGCTGTTACCCTGCAGAGTCCCAGAGCGCTGTGTTCCTAGCAGGCTTTAGGGGAGGACAGAGCTGTCTGAAACAAGGCTTAGCCGTTAGTTCTGTTGGTGTCCCATTGCTATTCTCGCTCTTTACAAGTATCTTTCTAGCAGGATCACCTTTCGGTCAGTCTTTGCATCCTTTCCCTGGGGGGGATCTCTATCTATGAAGGCTGAGCAGCTTTTGTTAGAAAAATACTTGTAAAACGTCACGTATGTCAGTGACTCTGCGATGCTTTTTGATATTTTTTATTACTAAGTGATTAAACAAAACAGATTCCTCTGTGCGATGAGTCTTTTAGCTGTTGCGACTTTCTGTTATGAGCCTGGTTTGGCTATGTTTCCCTGTGCTACTCAGTGTTTGCTTCTCCTCAAATGCAGGGCTCAGTGGTCTTTGATGAAACATGTTTACTGATCAACGCTATACAGTGCCACTAATTTAATCAGAAATGAACTGATTAAAGGGCCACACCGTAGTCCCCAGAAGTGTCAGGAGTTCTAGTAAATAGTTTATATGTAGCGCTTTCATTTTGTTTCGAGTGTTACAATAATGTTGGATATTGAAATCAGGACTGCTCAGAGACTTTCTAGTTGAATTTCAACTTGTGGTCACATTTTTAAAATTATTTTTTTAGTTCAGACAGGAAACTCACAAGATCCTCACTAATAGAACATGGCCTAGCATGTAATGCTGTGTCACTGAAATTGCTTTATCTGGCACTTATTTATGTCCTTACGACAGACAAAATAAAACATTCCTAGTTTTTTTTTTTGTTTTTTTTTGGAAATGTTCTCCTCTCTTTGTCAGCACTCCTCAAGGTTGGAATATCACCTGTGTGATATCTGATATTGAAATACTATATATTGTTGAGGGAAAAGGTTGTTTATCCATTGAACACAACACAACACAACACCAACATGAGCAAATCAGTAGAAACGTGTGAGTAAACCTAAAACCACTGTTTTCTATCATTTACAGTAGCAGTCCACCTCTGCATTTCTGTCATTCTTTGTGAATTTATCCACCTTTTCAGCTTCACTGCACTTAAACTGAGATCTATGTCTTGTTCTCAAACAGAATGGCATTTGCAAGTGTGTGCACGAGGCTTTCTTAGCTGAAAAAACAAATGACACCTATTTTTATTTCAGTCCCAGATGAAATAGCTGACAAAGAAATGGACAAAGCAGTAAAAAAAATGGTAAAAGCAAAACGTTGATGGAAGATATCTAAGAACTTCCTGGAAACAATTGTGAAACCAACCACAGTATGTGATTACACAGTATTTAGCATGTACCTTACAGCGGTACTTAATAATAAGGTGACAAGATGAAAGTTAAGCCTTAAAGTCTGTCTTATAAACAGGGATTTTATGAGATTCAGTATATGACCATGTTTGAGATTGTATAACATCTTATAAGCATAATATGAGACTGTTTTCTGACTTTCGTCCCCCATCCTGTGACCATCTCGTTGCAGATGTGCTTGAAGCCTGTGTGCAAATTCAAATTGTGTGATTGATTAGAGTTGGAAGTGATTGCGTTTCCTGACTGGTTGTGTTTCAGTTCATTGTATTTTTTTCAGAATCGTTGCTTGACCATTCGCACAGCTGTGTTACAGTTTTAAATTCACACGGAGGCATTTCCCAGTTCTCTGAAGGCCACTAAACGCAAGCTTTGAATGGATAAAGGGACCGAAATATTGTTAAGAGAAATATAAATAAATAAAACCTTTAATGGACGGGGTTTCAGTCGCAGCTCTGCTCAGCCTCAATCCCCGATCAACCTTCAATCCACAGGGCTCTTTCATCTCGCAGAGCAGCCCTGTCTCACCTCAGGGTCGGCTCTCACCTCCATCACTCAGCCTTGTTAGCCATTCACACTTGGCCTGTGAAATCACACTCTCTTCACAGGGGCTCCTCAACATGCCACACTCTTCCTCTCTCTGTCCTGGCCTCCCCCAGTCCCTCTGAGTTCTGACTGACTAAACAATGTATCCGTCTCTCCATCGCCTGTAGCAAACAGATGGGGCACTGCCACTCTCTGCCCGTCATCATTGTCGCTCTCCATCTAACCTTGTCGCTTCTTCTGTGGTATGAATCTCTCACTGTAAGCTCTCTCCCTCTATCACAACATCTAAATGATGTTACTGCACTGGTTCAGCCCCAGTTTTACTGTCAACAGCAGCTTCTTTGATTTGCCTATATAGCATTTTACTGCCTGCCTGCAGAGATCTATACCAGAGCTAACTTTATTTTTTTTTGCAAAATATTAATATATTGCATTTTCTGTTAATTCAGCGAACACAAACTAACTCTTAGTTTGTTTATCTGCAAAGTTAAATGAGGCAACAGAGAAAACTGTTTATTCAAAATACATTTGCATATACTTCTGCCAAAGCATGACCAAAAAATGGCTTCACGCTTAAGTAAGGACAGAATTTACTATATGTAGCCCTGTGTAAAATATTCATTCCAGATTAAGAAGGCTAAAATTGCTGGAGTCAGTAATTGTTGTGTTAATATTAAAAACAAATAAAAATGCTGCAACTTGGATTAAAAGTACAAGGATATCTAGTACATTTTATTTCATTGGTTGATGTAAACCGATCATATGTGTGAGGGCGGGACCTAAGTGAGGCAGGTGAAAGGTCATCTTAGCCTGCCTGAGATTCTACCATGGATTCTACTGCCAAGTTGTGCTAGAAGGAGACTGAAAGAGCTAAAGAGCTAAAGAGCTAAGCTAATAACGGTCATGAAATACCTGTGGATGCAGAGTCTGTATTCTTGGACTGTTAGGATGAGTGAGTACCGGCTGTAAATTATTTCTGCGCATTAATAAAACGCTGGAAGTGCATGAATATGGTGCTAATATCGAGTTAGCATTTTTGCTCGAGCCATTGCTGACTGTATGTACAGTAGAGTTTACCATTAGCCGGATATATTAAGCTAAACAGAGACTTCTGTCACACAGTGGACCAAGAGGACTTCTCTGGACTCTAATGCCGTTTATTGAAAATTTTGCCAGTGAACTCCATGTAGCCAGTGACGTGTGAGGCAAACTCCAAATCATCTGTTGAGTGCTACAGCCGTGAGGACAAGGCCTCATCCATCCCTCACACTTTCTACTAACTCAAAGGATTTGTGAGTAAACTAGAGCATGTGCATTTCTTTTCTGCTTGGTTTCAAGTGAGCGACCAATTGTGCTTTCTTATTTCAGTAAAAGACCTTGTTATTTAAATGGTAAACTTCTTAACTGACTTTAAAGGGGAACCATTTTGTAGGACTGTGATATTCACTTTTTTTTTTTTTTTTTTTTTTGGGGACTAATGCTCCTTGATATTCCACCTGTGTTGGAACAAATCTAAACTCTCATTTGTTTTTATTTTATGTCCTAATAATACATTTTATTTTCTAAATTCTACTTTTGATGTTAAACTTTTTTTGGGTTGCCTCTTAATTTTATTGCTACAGATATACACAAGGTTTAAAAGCTTGACATTTTTTATTCTTAGTGAGTTCAAAATAAAGTAGCTCATATTTTTTTCTGTTTATTGGAGGCACCACTCAATTTAAAAACCATAAATAAGTCTAAAAGGTTAAAACCGATTAGTATTTGTTTCTCCTTTACCAGTAATTGCTTATTAGTGAAATGCTAGTGTTCCCAGGCCCTTACCTGGAGTACTCCCATCACTTTGACCAAGGTTTACTTGCATTGGGTGCTACGTATTTAATATTATTGTTGTAATAAACATTCTAGTCTTGTTCCTACTATTGTTGTGGTGAGTCTTTATTTATTTTGCCTGGTATGGAAAAGCACAATCTGACTGAACTGTAATGGTATTCCAATGTAGGCTAATAATAGCACAGCATCTATAATAATTATTTTTTATTTTCTCTACATTTTTATTTTAATTCTTCTTTAAGAACTAAATAAGCTATACGTCGACACGACTGTTTACAAAATTTCTTTGAATTTTCAAGGGTGGGGATAATTTGATTCATGTCGCACATCCAACGCATGTCAACCACGGGATGTTTTACACACAATTTGAAAACTAATATATATTCATTTTATCTATAATATACCTATGGTCAACTCTACCATAATGGAATTTGGTCCTGCAATAAGATGTCATGACTTCTCTTGTGCGACATCAGATTCGACTCACTTAAATTGGAGATCAGAACCACAATGGAAGCAGGATTTAACATAAGATATTCAGAACATACAATGAAGTTAGATTAATAGAGAGAGATGTGACCATCTTGTAATTATCTCTGTAATCTAGTAATTAACTGCCAAGAGAAAAACGTAACGATGGTTTAGTACAAACTGATTTGTTTACAGGTATAATTTTGGAGTGGGTTGGGATGAAATGGGAAGATGTGTGTAGGAATTGGAAAAGAGAAGGAGAAGATCCGAAGCTTATTTTGAAATTACATCTGTTTATGTCCGAAGAACTGTTCACAACATATCAGCTTCTAAGAATGGGCAAAACGGTTCAGTCCAAAATAACTCAGTTAAAAATTTGCACATTGCGTTTAGAAATCTGGTAAACCGTATAAAAAAAAAACTTCAATCTGTGCCAACTTTTTAGGCACGTCTGCTTTCCAAAACGAGGCATAAATAATCTTGCTAAATGGCTGGCTGGCTCACAACAGTTGGACGGGATAGCTCACATTTGTGAATCTGTTTAAGTGTGACTAATTACTCTGATGCTGGTGATTTGGTCTTAAGCAGTTCCAAAGCTCAACCAAACCAGCAGTTGTGGCATTTAGGAACATCTAACAGACAATATGGAGATAGACTGCTCGCTTATTCATTTTAAGCCAACAAGTTATTGCCTGGAGAAATGTTGGTGCCAAGATCTGGAGAGAGATTTTTTTTTTTTGGTTGGGGAGTAAGGGAGGAGGTGGAGGAGGCAGAATCTAATCAGCCTCCTACACACTTCACACTGCAGTCAAGCCAACGCAGCTCCGAGACTGATGGTGTAGCCGTGCAGTGCGGTGCAGTGCTGGGCCGTGTTGTGTTGTGCTGCGCGATGCTGTGAGGGATAATGATCCGTGGCTGTGTAAGCCATTAGTGAGTAAGTAGTTATGTTGGAAACCCTGTATCCCTGGCGCCTGCTGTCACTTTGATAAATACGCAACACCTAGGTGCCCTCGCAGAAAACAACTCTAAGCTTCCATTTAGTTTAAGTTCCTCAAAATGTACGAATGCTCCTAAATATTCTGCTTGTTTGGTGCTGGAAATGAATCTTTGCGGGTACATGCCAATCAGCTCGAAAGATTGCATTGTGCTGGGGTTTCAGCTGGCGTTGCTGGGATTGCATGGTCCTGCAGTGCTGAACTACGAAGCACGTGACCCGACATCAGTAACTCAGGCACACATTTCTGCAAACAGAAAGACAAGCCCGCATGTGCATGTTTCCCAGTGAGTCCTCTTCAAAAGCTGATTTGTTTGGGTCACCTCAGCAAACCCACCACAGACATTCGAAGAAGACTTCCTGCTAAGCCGTCTCTTTCAAGTCTGCTTATTTTCACCTCATTTTACACCAGTATGAGATGAACTCTTATAAAAAAAAAAAAAAAAAAAACCCCAATTCACAGCCGACTGGGAAAAAGTTTTTTTTTTTAAAGAATACATTAGTAGATTCAAATCTTGAATTCCCTCTAATGTGATACAAGTAGCGAGCCCTTACTACCATATGGCCTGCCCTCATTCACTGTGTTTGTGGGTGTTTGCTACAAAGCATATGCATACGTTTATTCATGGTGAGTGTTTGTTTTTCGGCAGGGAAGCTCTGTCCCACATTCAGATTAACGGTCCTGATTCAGACATGGAAAGGAGATGTGGCAGCTTTTTGTCCACATGAAAGGATGGAGGGAAAGAGGCTTTTTCATGGTCTGAGTCCACTTTGAATTGGACTATAGATTCTGCCTAACTCTTTTGCAAGCGGATCTGATCCAAGTGCCATTGTACTGAGAGGTTCCTTAGAACAAACTCCCTTTCTCATTACTTTTTTTCTAATAATCTAAATCATTTCTTCCCCCCCCCCTCTGGCTAAAACAATGTAAATAATTCAACAGAATTGTCAAATTAATGACAAGAAAATTCGCCTTCCATTGATTTTCTCATTCAAGGGAAATTTATGGGTCAGTTAATGTAAAGAAATCGTCCTTCCTGAAGTCAATGAATATGGAGTGAAATGTATTGTGCAAATTCAGTTGTGGGAATTTTGTTGGGCTTGCTTTGTTCTGGATGTCCAAAGAAGTGAACCATACACAAAACAGAAGACAGTTTCACAATAAAGTCCCTGAAAGAAAAGATCTGGAACCTTTTCCAATTGTGCTAGTAGGTTAATCTCCCCCCTCAGTCCTAGACTGGTTTCTATGCAAAGCTCACACTGGAAACGCTGGTCTGGCAATGAGCTTTACTGGCTTGCTGAGCCTCTCTCAGTTAAGACTGTCACTACTGTGGCCAAGTAACTGTTCTGACAGAGTGGAGATACCAGCTCCGCTTTCAGGATTGAGCCAAGACCACAGTTTTGTCTCCATGTGACAGTGAGCGGAAAAGACAGACCTCTTATTAATACTAATCTCCGGATTAGGAAAAGCAGCTTTAGGCCTTGAAGTCATTCTCTCCAATCAGCATCATTGTCTACAACAAATATGATCTGCAACTTCTCGTTCAATCTGCAGCGGCGCAAACAGATAGGGAGCCGTTACAAAATCAGAGCGACGATTGGGCCAGAAAAGTTGGCTTGGGGCTGGATTTTCTTCAACAGTAATACATGAACAACAAAAGGGGCCACATGGGAGGAGAGTACTGATTTTTTTATTTTTCTCCTTCTTCAACTAAGTTTGTATGATCACAGATCTTTTGTGTTCGGTTAATCTCATAATCTATCAAATGACCTTCACTAATCAAGTGCTAAAGTGGACTTTGAAGGAATGGCATTGGCATTTCAGTATGCTTGCCAAATCGCTGAAAGCTTTGTAATAAACTTCAACGTCCCCTTTGGAAGGCCAACTTTTCATGCTAGACCTCAGTCATTTATATTTTATGTTTTATACATTTCTCCCCCGTTGATCACTGGAGTCATAAAAGATGTGAATAATACAAGATCTCAGAAATTTTCTGGCCAATATAACTGATTGCCTGCAGTGATATCACATTCCTTAATATTCCAGGACACAAGCGTGTTCTCGTGTGTGCGTGTGTGTGTGTGCGCGTGTGCGTGTGTGTGTGTGTGTGTGTGTGTGTGCGCGCGCTGTAAGCAAGAGAATGAGAGAAGAGGAAAAGGCTTGAGAGATGGAGGGTGGTTTTTCCTGGAGGCTTAGTGCTTTCTGGATTCCTAGAAATAGGATTTTGATCTTTCAAATGTGATTAAACTTCACTTTGTTCGCATATGATGGCAGAGAAATTTTAGCAATCCAAAGAAGCAAGGGTGCAGAAATTGTGTGGTGGTAGGTGTTTATGTGCTTCCATGTATGCGTAGGCCCCCCTATGTCTTTCTTCGTATGTATGTGTGAGTGCAGTATGTGTGTTCACCTCAGCCAGATTCCCTGGGGTTTGCAGATGGTAACCCAACATGCCAGCTATACAGAAACAGACACACACACACAGAAACACCAACACACACACACCTCCAGAGCCAACCTGGAGTCAGGGCCTTGTATCCTGGAGGTGATCCATGCCAGATTACGGCTCTTTTGCACAGCATGGACACTTCAAGATGTCCCACTCCCTCTCTGATCTCAATCTGGATAATGTCTTCCCATGCAGCTTTAGAGAGAACGCCAACCGGACCAAAAGCTCAAATTATAAGTTAGACTGCGTACTTCTGATGAGAATAAGTCTTCAGAAAATTGCATTACATATCTATTAATATTTTTGCTTTCATATGTGAAATCTTGAACATCATAGTCACTATAAAGATGCAGTTTTTCCATAAAATGCATCAAAATTGCTGCTATCTGCATTGTCCTCCCAAAGTCAATGCCCTCTAGTGGTCACAGTGTCAGTGAGAGGCCAAGGAGGAGCAACAGTGACTTTATACAGGGCAACTAAGAGCATGTACAACTAGAGGAGGTCACACTAAATCTACTAAATGTTTGGCCACTGTGGCTTTATGTAA